TTATAAGTAATCTATTAAGAACACATGTATTATAAAGTAAGAGGACAAAGCACAAGTGAATAAGAATAAAAGAGAGCTCATTTTATCCAATTTGTGCCTTCAGTGTCTGTCATCATAATCCCTTCTTTCACTAAGAGTCGATTATATGTATAAGTATAACCAAATTAAAGAAATTGGGAAAGTCCATTATATGTATAAGTATAACCAAATAAAAGAAATTGGGAAAAGAAGAAATGAACCCTTCAAAATACACTCGGCACTCACATTTTCTTCAATAAGACTAGCTGAGACAGAGGTTTTGCACTTCTTTGATTAAGCCGTTGTTTGATAAATCCCTGAAACAAAACATCTCAATTTGTTCAATATCATTGATTCCTAGATGCTGATGGTTGGCCTTTTTACTCATTTCCATCAATTACATCTACAAAGCAAGATGAAAATATTGGAATGCCTTTTAAAGGGGAAAACTTACAAAGTTATAATTCTATCATAACCACATTGAAGCTATTGAGACCGTTTTACAAGCAATCACTTGCACAGGGATCTCTTTGTCAATTTCTTCTCTTCACTCCAGTTGTTGATTGCATGTCCATTATTACATCATCAAACTCAAAGTTGTATAGAGAATTTATTCAAACAAGGTATAATATGTTTTAGATTCAAAGAAAAACATTTGAAAAGCCGTACCATCTTCCTTGTTTGTTGGCAATTGAATGAGATATTCTACCATAAAACCACAAAAGCCTAAGAATTGGTGGAAGAGTTGATCTGTTGGTTAATTCCAAGCAAAATTCAATGCTTTCCTCACTACTGCAAAATGTGTGTACACATAATCTATGGCCCCAGGATCTATACATTTCAAGAAAAATTGAAAGGACTGCAACCATGATTTATGCTAGTGTAGCTGCAGTGCTCTTGTCAATGGGAAAAGCATGTTCTCAAAATGTTGTAGTTCACAAAGTCATAAGGAGTCCAGACTCCAGATTTCATCATTAACAGTTTGCAAAGTAGCAAGTCGCAGAAACACCATAATCTCTAACCTGAAATGGAATAAATTCTTTGCTTAAAATTTTAATTCAATATGAAATTAAACTGATCAAATTTATAAATTGATTAAAGGCACATATGACTTCAAAGTAACAAGACAAACCTAGAGAAGACTCTGGTGTAGGTTCTAACAAGAGAGAGCCACTGAAGAAATAACAGTTCAGTTTGCACAGCAGATCAGGCATTTGGCACGGTAACCCTGAAGAAATTTCAACAACCATGATTGCAAATGTGTCAATATAGATTTTTACAGATCATTCCTTAACCAAGGAAAGAAGAATATCCTTTTTGCTAAACTTATATGTAACTTTTATTGGTGAATCATAATCACTAAAGTGAAGTAAAATCCTACCAAAATAAAATCAAATCTTAATTAAAAGATGATTTTTAGTTTCACAACCCACCTTTGTAGGGCAGTCCACTTAAACTGGCAATCCAAGACAGCTCAAGACATTGATTAGCAAGACAAATGTCTATATACCAGTATACTTGCACCTCAAAATGTGGTCATAATTTGAAAATTACATGGCTGTAGAATAGCTAAATCTGTTTATGAGCCTCAACAACTCAAAGAGAGGACTACTCATCTGGTTGAGTCCCTAGTGTGAAAATTCCCTCCAGTCATCATGATATTTTTTGGGTTTCAGATCAGGAAAATTAGATTGCCTGTAATTAGTTTAAGGAACATAGTTGAACAAAACTGAAGTGAACAAAGAAAAACACAAAAGAAAAAAACAAATCATACTCAAAATCTAAAAGTTGGTTTATAGAGAAAAGAAAGCAGACCTAAAAAATTAAAGCTTTTGATTGCTAGTGTAAGCATTTGATTATGCATTAGTTCACAATTAAACCATGGCTACTCGAAGAAATTATGAAAATAACAAAGGACCTATTGGTAGAAAAAACATAGCTATGGAATTGGAATGAAAATAAAAATGGACAGAAGGATTGTAGAAAGGAATTCAGGAACTCACTAGCTTTAGAGGAACCCTGAGGC